TTTACCCCGAGCTACACTCGGGAATACCTCCAGGGAGGTTAAAGTTCATGTGTGTGTAAAGGCAGGCGTCCCAATACTTTTGGCAATATAGTGTGTGAATATATATAATACAATACAAACCGATCAGTCATAACGTTATGGCCCCCCATCTAATACTGTAGCTCCTCAGCCTGACCAATCTGCAGCTATACAACCCCATACACAACAAACTGATACCCATATTTTCTGCTTTCAACACATCAACTTCAGGGACAACATGTTTACTTGCTGCCATAATATATCCCATCTAATTTCAGATAAGCAATAATATGCACTTTACCTATCAGTGGTGATAAAGTTATGGCTGATCCGTGTAGCTCATTAATATACAGTAATCTATATGCTATTATTATGTATACACTTGTAATAAAAGCACAATGCAAAGCACAGACCCCAGTGTTACCACATTCAATGCATGTTATAATGGACTACATGGTATGAAGGAGCGCTACATACACACCGGGAGGGGAAGGACACAAGCCTGTATTCGGTGCAGTTGGTCCACTAGGCAATGATGAGCGCGCGATACTTTCTGGGAGGAGAAACTTGTAAGCGCGCTAAACTATCAGTACCAGCTTACAAATGGTCATGTGCCCCAAAGAGTGCCCACGTGGTCTGAGCCCAGCTGTCAGAGCGCAGACACATTTACCTAACCCTACGTATTCTCCTCACGTACGTGTGACTTCCCTGCCACCACCAAAATGGCGGAGCCCAAAATACCGCGAGATTACGTGCTTCTTAAGCGTGCTCACGCAAGCGTCCGCCCTTTCTAGTCGCTGGGAACTGATAGTGCAGGATGAGGTAGGCTGTGTGGTTGTGATCAATCTACCGGCATCGGTGTGTGAGGGAGGGTGCATATCGTCCCGTACTGTGGTTGGTAGTTGGTCCATGTGTGCTCTTCTCGGGCTAGGTGCTCTTTCACCTGTAGATGGTCCCTGAGAGGAGAATAGACGTGAGGCCTTGGGACTGTAGGTGGAGTGGTATGTGGATTCGGTGGTGAGGGTATATATGGTGATCGAATCATGTAGGGTTGTGTTGGGGTTGGATCCTGAGGGAGATCCCGAGGTGCCCTGGTAGCAGGCTGTCCGTGTGTTCCTGCTGATCGAAGCTTCTTCAGTTCAAAGTGTCCAGAAACCAGTCCACATGAATGTAATCACTGCAGGAAGAGGATGAATGGACCTCTTCACACTACGGGGGGATTATTTTTCCCTTCATAGTTAGGCTGAAAAAAGACAAAAGTATCCAGTTCAACCATAGAAAAAAAAGTTATAATCCTATACCCACAGTTGATCCAGAGGAAGGCAAAAAAACCCGCAAAGCATGATCCAATTTGCTCCTGCAGGGAAAAAAATTCCTTCCTGATCCTCTGAGAGGCAATCGGATATTCCCTGGATCAACTTTACCTATAAATGTTCGTATCCAGTTATATTCTGTGTATCTAGGAAAGAATCCAGGCCTTTTTTTAAAGCAATCCTCTGAGCTGGCCAGAACTAACTCTTGAGGAAGTTTATTCCACATTTTCACAGCTCTTACTGTGAAGAAACCTTTCTGTATTTGGAGATTACGTTTCTTTTCCTCCAGATGTGAAGAGTGCCCCCTTGTCCTCTGTGATGATCTCAGGGTGAATAGCTCTACACCAAGTTCACTATATGAACCACTGATGTATTTATACATGTTGATCATATCCCCCCTTAATCTCCTCTTCTCAAGAGAATAAATTCAGTTCCTCTAATCTTTCCTCATAGCTGATCTCCTCCATGCCTTTTATCAGTTTAGTTGCTCTTCTCTGTACTTTCTCCAGTTCCCCAATGTTCTTTTTGTGAATTGGTGCCCAAAACTGAACTGCATATTGCAGATCAGGTGTTTTACTAATGATTTGTACAGGGGTAATATGATATCTCTCTCTCTGGAGTCTATACCTCTTAATACAAGAGAGATTTTGCTCGCTTTAGAAACCGCAGCTTAGCATTGCATTCCATTATTAAGCTTGTAATCTATCAGAACCCCCAGATCCTTCTCCACCATTGATTCCCCCAGTTGTACGCCTCCCTTTATACATTGCTAGCTACCTGGCTGTGAAGTTGATACTTCAGTGTGCAGATCAGGTATTTCTGCTGTACTCAGCCCCTTTCAGATGGGGTGGATCCGTCAAGTGTCTCCACTGATCCCCGCTGAGTAGGCGGATGACACACTGCCCGCTGATTTCAATGGGACGGTCAGATGGGAGTAGACCACCTGTCTGTTTCCACCTGATTGACCTCCAGTCTGATCCGCTGGATGGATGGAGAACTGATCACCATCTGTCTGTTTTTGGTATACATAATGGGATGCCCGTGGGTGTCAGTGGACTATTATCTGGCACCTGCTGGCTGGTCCATAGAAGTCTATTGATGGACAGATCAGGTCTGCCTGTGAAAGGGGCCTTCTCTGACATGTTTGTCCTGGCTCCGCTCCTAGGAAATATTTAGGGCCAGTGTAGCAGTCAGGCAACTATAACCGTCCTGAAGGAGCTCATCAATTGCAATTTTCATGTTTCCTCCATCTAAAGACAGCATTTAAAATGGAACGATACATCCACTGCAATGAAGCTCCCTTGCTGGTTGCTGACCTTTTGCCCATTTTGATTGGCTGTGCAGAGTTGGCATTGCTGTTATGTATTTGCAGGGAGTTCATTTATCTCCGCAGATAATGAAACTGTTAAGACCAAGAACTAAGTGATCAGAAACCACTGGTCACTCAGTTCTCAGTAAGAAGAGAGCCTATCAGTGCTCTCTGCTCTGCCTTTCCAGTATTCACTGGAGCATAGCTGTGCAGGAGATGGGAATGAGTGGCTGGCGGGTCTCAGTGGCAGACATCTGGGTGGAAGTGAAATCAAAATTTAAAAACCTGCTGATACGCAGTGTAAAGGTTAAGACAAATGATGTTAGCGAGCGCTAGCCAGGGAAGCCGCAAATGCACACATAAAGGAACTACAAATCCTCTCTAGAAAATCCTAAAGGTGTGTGCGCGTGTGTGTGTGTGTGCGTGCGTGTATATATATATATATATTGTAGTGCAGCGCATATAAACAAACATGTATAGAAATCATAAAATTATTAAACCATAATAGCCCAGTAAAAGTCTCAATGAGTGAATAGGACAGTCACTTCGAACTAGATAAGGTGCCAGAGGGTGATTAATCTGGGAGTAGGTGATTAGCCAGGAAAGTATAAACATCCGCTGGTGCGCAATAGTATAGTGAGATTGCAAACTCACCAGAAGCGCTAATGTAATGCGCATTAATCAATGTAATCCGGCTTAAGGGACTCCCATCAGATGGAACCTGGTCTGGTCTAGAAGTCGTCCACCTCTATTCATAATGGGGGGTGATGTCTATCAACAGGGGTCTGGTCACATAGCAAACCTCATCCTCTGATAAGAGTAGAACCCTGGGGGTTAAGTGCTTATGGTGAAGCCAAAGAAAGGGGGGGGAATCTCATAGTGTAGTATCAAACTTATTTATTAGAGTTATAAAATTGTATCAAAAGGTACACACATGTAGTTAAAAAAGATGATCTCATGAAGATAAAACAATGCAAACAATAGCCTGTGCTGGCAATGTTACTACCAGTCCCAAAGTTGTAATGGCCGCCGGACCTCCGTGATCCAGCGGCTTGGCGTCTCTGGGTAGTGGGGCTCCTCAACGCATTTCATATAATCATATATCATCAGAAGGGGTGATGCCTGCCTGGCATGGTTATGTGATCTGAGCTTCTACATGCGCACCTCAGACCAGATTTAGACCTCCGTGTGCTGCTGCAATGTGACCCCCATGTACATGCGTGGGAGTGATATCACAGTGGCCCAGCAATCCAAGTGACTGACCTTACAAAATCTGGAAGTGAGACTGGTCAAATATGGAATGCTGGGGGAGCCATGACAGCGCAGCTCTGGATGGATCAGTTTGCAGGTACGTCTGCGATAATGGGCTAGTATGTGGTGCATACTAGTACATTATGACTTAAACCTGTAGGGGGATCACTTTTATGGGACTTCTGCTTTAAAGTTGCAATCCCTTCAGAGTGATGCCTGACTGAGTGACGTCAGCAGACTTTATCCCACGGTCCGCTGAATACAGGTCACAGGGAGTGTACAGGTCATTTCCTGGCTGGATGAGTAGAGGTATTGCTCTCCCACTACCATGTGACTTGCTGAATTTCCATCAGAGAAGGAGGGACATCTTGTTTTCCAGCCACCGGCAGAGCAAACTGTGCAAATGGGTAAGTATTTCTCAGCACAATACTGGGTGTGCTGGCTTCTCTGAAATTGTTACCATGAAAGTTCAGCGGAGGTACAGCTTTGTAGTGTAGTTTGACAGCTATGATCTGTTTATTGTGAGCATAACAGACAAACGAGGACTATTTTGTTAAAATATTTGTTGCCTAGCTTTTCTAGGACTATTTCAGAGCTCCTGCAGTGTTTGATTATTATTCGTAAAGATGAAGGGCTATGAAACCTGTTTTCCTTGAATTTACAAAGAAAAGATTTAAATGTGTTGGTACATAATGCTGCTGACCACAAGCCCCTAAAAAGGGTATATTCCAGAAACACTGGGGCTTTTGTAAAAGCCTTTTTCCTAGCAGAAGAAAAGCAGCTTCAAAAAACGCCTAAGCGGCATTTTTCTTCAAAGGTGTTTAGGTTCATCAAACACTTGGGCATTTATTTCATGGGCCAGCATTTTTTTTCTAAACTCCTGAAAATGCCTGTGTGAATGGACAGAGTGTTAAGAGACAGAAGAAAAGTCAAACACTTGTAAAACACGCGGTTATGAGCTCAAGTGTGTATGAGGTCTAACAATGATGGGGCAGTTTATACCCCAAATTATATATGGTTTGGAAATCTCAAATGTCTTTTGCTTTTTTTAGTGAGTATGGATTCTTTTCCATTTAAACTAACATTTTTAATTTTTTTTGCCATCCTGCAGCAGCAAAGTTTCTCGCGATACCCTCCATGAAGCTGTGAGGGAGGTTCTACTGGGGGCAAGAAGGAAGAAGAGAAAGTAAGTAATGGTGTAATTTAGTGTTTTTTTTGTGAACCACTTTTTATTCTGAGTTTAAGAGTCTGTTTTTGTTGCTAATAAGGTAAACTGACCCTGTTGGCAAAGAAGGGTAACTTGAAAGAATGTAATGTGTACACTGTGGACCACCGCTCTGTTGCTGAGGAAGTTTCACTCTAGTCATCAGAGACTAGACAGTTGGGAGTGTAGATCTCCTTTCTCTGCACCACATTTCTCCTTTTGACCGCCATGTAACTACAGGATTCAGTAACGATGCAAAGGTTGGTGATAGGAACCAAGGAGCAATGCATGGAGGGCACAAGAGATTCTTAGGAAAGTCTGTTTGCCAATAGTTTGGACAATTTGTCAACAAACAGTGCAGCATTCAGTGGCGCAGAGGAAGAGTATTTGCAGGTGTACAAATATAACCAATTGAGTCTCACGAGCAGCCAAAAAATATTATAACATACTATGCTGACTTATTCAGTGAGTGTGACTAAATAACTACGATCCAGAAAGCAGCTCACACTTACATACTCATAACGTGCATAATCTAAATAAACATACAGTGCCGCACTTCCTTTAAATGTCCCAAAACACGTGCATGCAAACAAATATAATGAAATATAGTGAACAATTTTAGTTGCAAAGTCTCTTAATAGTGTTGCTTCTTCCGCTTCAAAAATACTCCATAGCTCTGTCATCTTAGCCGAATCATAGTTCTCGTCATGCACCAAAGCTTCCAACTCTCCTATTTTGCTTGGCAGACTTCTGGCATTGGTGAACAAACACTTTAATACATTGACACCTTGTTCACACGTATTTTGCATATTTTTTTTTATTTTCATACAAATGGTACAAATTCCACTGGTTGTTTGTAACATGGGAACCTTCTTATTATCTGCCATAGCCTTCCCCCCCATCTTTCCCCATTCCACCCACCAATAAGTACTGACCCCTGTCTGATCTGTCTACCCCGTTATAATCTAATTCTCCCTCCTCCCTCGATCCTAGATTAAATACTCCTCCAGCCTTCCCATAAACCTCTCCCCCAGAACAGCAGATCCCCTTCCATTTAGGTGCAGACCATCTTTAGCATATAGGTTGCACCCAATGAAAAGTCAGCCCAGTGCTCTAGAAACCCAAATCCTTCCCTTTTACTCCAGGTCTTTAGACATGCATTGAGTTCTCTAAAACTTAATCCACCACCACAGACACCAGATGTGCCCTCACCTGGAGTTTTTGACCTCACATAAAGTTAGGCAGCTTTGATGGCTGTAGTGAAGAGATCTGGATGCAGCCTGGAAGTCTCCATAGTGTGACTTTTACCTGCTGGAGTGGAGAAGGAAGGATTAAAGGGACCGGTCACCACCGGAGGAAGACTATATACAAGATATACCCGCCAGTATATGTCCACTTCAAGGGAGATGTATTTTTTAACCTATCTTTGTGAGGTCAAAAACTCTAGGTGAGACTACATCTGGTGTTAGTAGTGTTGCTTCTTCAGCTTCAAAAAAAGCTCTATATCTTCTTAAAACTTAATCCACCACCACAAAGACTTTGCAAATAGAATTGTTCACTATATTTCATTATTTGTTTGTATTCACACACGTTTTTGGGCATTTAAAGGAAGCGTGGCACTATATGTTTAAGTATTTGCAGGCGTCCTTTCAGGTAACGGCTGTATTTTGATTTTGCTGAGCAGGTTATTTCAGTATACAGAATAAAATCAAAACCATTTTTGTGTTCATCAAAGCATGTTTGAGAAGACATGACCCTGTCATCAAATTTACATGCTGTCCACATGCAAAAATTGATAACAGCCAATTGACTAGATATTGACACTATGTTGCTTTTTTTTTTTTTTTTTTTTTTTTTTTTTTTTTTTTTTTTTTACACAATAGATGTCGTTTTTTTATTAGGGGTTTGGTTAGTCCTTTGAAATTTCACAGAACTATAGTGTGTGTCACATACATAAATCTGCAGGAGTGTTTAGTGTAGTGACCTTTTGGGAATATATAATAAAGTTCACTTTTCTTCTTGTATAGGTTTCTGCAATCCGTGGAACTTCAAATCAGCCTGAAAAACTATGACCCCCAAAAGGACAAGCGTTTCTCTGGCACCGTCAGGTTGGAATACTTATTCTCACCCATCTTTTGCCTTGCTTCTTCTACCTCCTACTTAATTTTGTCTTGAGTGAGGGAAGTCAGTGGCAATGGACCTGGGTAGTTCAGTTCCTGTGTTTTTTTGTGGTGAGCTGGACGGACCCCCACCCTAGGTCTTAAAATAATAGGGGAGGTGTGGTTTGAATTTTTTTAAACCCACCGCCTAATGCTTCGGTGTTAGATAAGGTTTGTGTCTGGTTCTCCCACATTCCCTCACTCTTCTGTTTCTGATATTGCTAACACTTTCATTTTATCTCAGGCTAAAGTCTACACCAAGGCCCAAATTCTCAGTATGCATTTTGGGAGATCAGCAGCACTGTGATGAAGCTAAGGCTGTGGATTTACCCCACATGGATATTGAAGCTCTTAAGAAACTTAACAAGAACAAGAAGCTAGTGAAGAAGTTGGGTAGGTAAATTGTATATGTATAACCACTTTGTAATGTAACTCTTTTGGTGCAAACTGTACAACTTTTGTTATGGAGACACCACCTTGATATTACTGTATATCAACACTTATTTTGAGGAAAGGCTGCAACTGCTTTTTGTTGAGCCATTTTTTTTCTCGGTTAGTAGATTTGGATGGGTGATGGAGGAAAGCCTAAGAAGTGTGGTTCTATCCCTATTTTGCATTGTTCTACATTCCCTTTGCGAAATCTGGTGTAAAGTACTTTTACAGAAGTAAAACTATGTCATTGTGGTAGCCAATTTTTTTTTTGCTAGAGAAACCGTTATGAGCAAAGGTCCATCCCTGGTTTTACTGAAACACCAAAGACAAAGTATTGCATTGCAGCTTACCAGTGTTTAGATGTGATGTGTTTTTTTGTTTTTGTTATGTCTTTTTTTTCCACTTGTTTTGTAACTGACAAGTCTCAGAGGGTTGAGACAAACTAACAATGGCAAGGGTTGCTTACAATGGTCAGCTTTAATCATTTGTATAAAACCATTATCTCAAAAAAGAAAAACCGCTGCTGTAACTGCTTAACCTTCCTGGCGGTAATCCTGAGTGTAGCTCGGGGTTAATTTCAGTACCAGAAGCGGTAAACCGAGCAACACTCGGGATTACACTGAAGTGATCCCTCGAGCCTTACCTTGTCCCACGATCCCGTGATGTCCTCCCGCTGTGTCCCCCGGCCATGTCAGCCGGTTCCGTTCCCTGCGAGCGTCGGGACGTACGGGGGGCGGAACCAGCCAAAATAGTAAAAATTTTACATATACACAATACACTGTAATCTTAGTATTACATTACTGTATGAAACCATTTCACCTAAATTTTTGTCCCTAGTGCTTTATCCAGTGCCCTGCCTGCACTTTTACTGTTCTTTCTGCCTGGAAACTGAGAAACGTCTATGGCATCCAAAAAGTGTCCCTTTTTTATGTCCAAAAGCGGTTTTAGACCAGCTAGAAAACAGCAATAGTGAATTAGAATTGCTTGCAGAATTGAGCGATAGTGATTCGTGGGGAATTTCATCATCACACTGAAAACGATAATGCGACTTTGCTCAGCGATGTGCGAACTTGGTTCTCTTTCAGATTTCAGTGTTTTTGGTTTGATTACATTATTGAATTAAATTTATTATATTTTTTTTTAGAATTATTATATTATTTATTTTGTGTTTCAAACTTTTATCATGTCCGGGATGTTTACTAGACTCTTGGACAGATTTAAGTGAGTTATTCATAAGAATTAGAGGCCTACAATATAAAACAACAAATTTCCATGAAAAACAATGTACCGCTTTGACATTCAAAAATATTGATTAGTTAGACCTCCATGGAGGTTAGGTGTCAAAGCAGAACGTCATCGAAGTCCATCTAAATCTGCTAGTGCATCTACCACAACCCTCTGCCCAGACTGACAATGCTGCTGTCGAAAGGTGTCTTTGTTGCACCTCCATTCAGAGGGGGAACACCCGAAGGCTAGGTTCACACTAGCCCGCATTGTGCTTTCTAGTTGTGTGTGCGGGAATCACATCTTTTCCCCCACACACACAGCTGAATTGTGCTACTTCTATGAGACACATGAGGCTTCTATTCATTCTGTGCGGTACTCCCATGCTTCTTTATTGGGGGATTCTGGCCCAAGATCCTCTTTTGGCAGGTTCCATTTCTCAACAGCCAGAGATAATCTTTCGCAGGCTGAAGCATCTGAAAAGTATCATTGCTCCCAGCAAAATAAAACCACGGCCAAATCTTTGGTTTAGGCTGGAACCTGACTTATTTTGACTAGAAGGGGAACTACAGATGTGGAGTTCCTAATTGTGGTGCTTGTGGATAAATGTGACACAGAAAAATGAGGCCCGGAGGGTAGATGGGAGATCAGACCCCATCAATCAGTTCATCAATTGTGGGACCCAGTATGCTGTGTATTGTATGATCTGCCCCTGTGGCCTCCTATATGTGGGCCGCACCTAACACACCCTTAGAACACGCTTTGGGGAACACAAGAGGAATATCATTCATGAGTTGGACAAACATTCAGTTCCATGTCATTTCAGGGATGAGCATGGCAAGAACCCCAGGGGTTTGAAAGTTTTTGGGGTTGAAGCCATTCATGAAGATAGTGATGTTGGCAGAAGACACCAGCTTTTGTGCCAACTGGAGACTTTTTGGATCGATCAGCTTGACACCTTGTCTCCCAAGGACCTCGTAATGCCAACTACTATTCATTAATTTCATTATTTTATTTCATTTTTTCTGGGCAGATTCTTTCCTCATTTCTCTCCTTTTGTCTTCCTCCTAATGATGATGCATTCTCATGAATATGAACAGTGTGATCGTGGGTGTGGGAACTGAGGGGTCAAAGACCATGTTTCCTTGCGGATGTGTTTTTGCAAAGGCTCATGCACCTTTTTCTTGCATGAAATGCAGGCACAGCAGCCTATTCAGATGAATGGGCTTCTGTGCCCGCACAAATGGCCACGCGGTCTGCACTAGTGTGAGCCAGGCCTTAGAAAATGTGTGTTGCTTGATCATTAAGTGAAAATACAGCCAAAAATGGTAATCTAATGTGGTCACCATATCCACAGCATTATACACCATAAGCTGCATTATACTACATTGTTTTTTAGATTTATTACCACTTTAATTTTCATACATTTGCACCTAATAAAATCTGGTATTGTGGTTTCTCTTTATTAGATGAACATATTTTGAAGTTGGGTTTTGATATGAGCAAATTAAAAGGAACCTGTCTGGACAGAAATTAGAGTTGGCAATTTTGTGAAAATGCCTACGAACAATCATCTTCATCCATCCCATTTTCTTCATTAACAAGCCTTGCTATGTTCTGCAGTTGATGCCTGTTAAATTTAAAGTGATTATATAGGCTCAAGGTTTTTACCTTTCGTGCATGAAGTTAAAAAAAAAAAAAAAAAAAAAAAAAAAACCCATGTGCAGCAACCCCCCTCCCTCAAAACTTACCTGAGCCTGATTTACCAAGGAGGTATCTCCCTCCTTTGCTGAGACAGCAACTTTGGCCATTGGCTATCGTTGCTGTCAATCACAGACAGTGAGCCATTAAGAGAGCATTGGCGGTGGCCAAGCCATGCTTTCTGTGAATGAACACAGAGCAGCGGTTCAGGAGGCCCCAGCAATCTGCTTCATGTGGGGGCACTTGGTAAGAGCACAGGAGTGCCAGCAGGGAACTGAGGATTAGGGCTGCAGGTAAGTATGACCTGTAAACAAAAAAAAAATTCTTTTTTTAATATCACTAACCTTTTTTTACTTTTTATTGGTTAATTTCCAAACTACATTTTAGTGGGAATCCAAAATCTAAAGACCACTGTGTAGGTGCTATTGATATGTTGTACAGGCATCCTATCAATTCTGCTAACTTTATTTTTCCAGCCCTTAAAGTTGCAAAGTAGATGGAAAATTATGGGTTATACTGCGTTAACTATACTTTTGTTTTACCTGTATTTCAATATCACTTTTTGGGTTCCTTCTCCAGCTAAGAAGTTTGATGCCTTTTTGGCTTCTGAATCACTTATCAAGCAGATTCCTCGTATTTTGGGACCTGGTTTGAATAAAGCAGGAAAATTTCCTTCTTTATTGACTCACAATGAGAACATGGTGGCCAAGGTTGATGAAGTCAAGTCCACCATCAAGTTCCAGATGAAAAAGGTGAGCATTAAAATACCAGTGTTCTAGAGAACATAAAAGCTATTTGAGCCATTTAAATACTTGCATTTATTTATTGTTTTTATTTCAGGTACTTGTATAGCGCCGTCAATTTACGCAGCGCTTTACATATGTTGTATATTCACATCAGTCCCTAACCCTCAAGGGGGTGTGCAATCGAAGGTCCCTAACTTACATTCATACATACACATACTAGGGCTAATTTAGACCAGATCCAATTAACCTACCAGCATGTCTTTGGAGTGTGGGAGGAAACCCACGCACACAGGGAGAACATGCAAACTCCAGGCAGGAGGTGCCGTGGCTGGGATTTAAACCAACAGCCCTAGTACTGCCAGGCGGAAGTGCTAACCATTTAGCCACTGCCCTGCCACTTTTATACAACCTGTAAATCTGAATTGCCTGGATTCTGAAGCTTAGTTTGTGCTGGTTTTATATCTAAATACAAATCTAGTAAACAAAACTGGTCCTCTCTAGTTAAAGGATAACTGTACTTTCATTGAATTTTGTTCCTCCCCTAAACTGGTTAGCCACTGAACCCATTTTCCAAGATATCCATTTGCCTGGAGTAGGCTACTGTGGGCTGCCAAAATCTTAAGCATTTCTAGCTAATCTTTCTTGCCATTGCCTAGGCAGTATAACGTCATTAATGTCCATGGGACTGTCTTTTAAGCAGCTCCTGTTTTTGGGAGACCGCTCCTTTTTAGACTTGCCTTAAGTTTTTTTTTTTCTCCAAGGTCCTGGATATAGCCAGGCCATATAGCATTGTTAGAACAGGCTGTGGCCATGTCAAAAAAGGGATAACTTGCTAACACTTCAGTGTCTCTTGTATACACAATTGGGGAATTGTCTGACTGATCTCAAAATTTTAGCAGTTTCACTAAATGCGTGTTATTTTCCTAGGTCCTGTGTTTGGCTGTGGCAGTTGGTCATGTCAAGATGACCGAGGAAGAGCTTGTGTACAACATCCACCTTGCCATTAACTTCTTGGTATCTCTACTAAAAAAGAACTGGCAGAATGTGAGGGCCCTGTATATCAAGAGCACAATGGGCAAACCACAACGTCTGTACTAATTTGTGATACCAATAAAGTTTTCAACTTTAGTCTGTCTTTAAGTTTGTTTTTTTTTAGAAAAAACCTTACACTACAATTCAGCTTTAGATTTGATATTCAGAATCTGAGTCTTAACCACTTGCTGCCTGCCCACAGTACTTGCTGAGCCATACACACTGTTGCACCCCCCTGAAGCATGCAGCGCTCTTACCTTCCTGCTGTGTCCACAGGACACAGGCCACTCTGCAATTCTATTTGCACAGAGCAGGTAGGTTTAACATGTTTTATTCTATTTATCGCCTAACTGCCTAAAAATAACTACGCATATGTGAAGACACAAAAACCCATCATAAAGAAGTAATATCTAAAAAAAAAAAAAAAAAAAAAAAAAAGCCTAAAACAAGTTTGCGTAGTTCCCAAAATGGTTACCGCCTTTCATCAAAAAGAAACCTGTCTCTACCTAATCAGTGCTTAATGTTGCTATTTAAAGCTGAACTCTAGGATCTAGACAACTTTGCAAATGCAGATCCCTCTCTAAGCTGTGTTTACATTGCTAAGACAGTTTAAATCATGTTACCTCACTTTTCTTGTAATCCAGCATTTTCAGTCCCAGTGGTGTCCCAGTTTTTGGTTGAACTAGATGACTTTTGACTTTTTTTTTTTTTTTTTTTTCAGCCAGACTATGTAAGAAGAGGACCTTCTCTCTTGATTTTAAATCGCTTTCAAGCAGGGAAAGACTCATTTACCATGATGCAAAGGGAAATGCAGGAAATTAGCAGACCTGTGGAGGAGGTGGGAGCGGAAGGTGAAGTTGGTGCTGAGGACACACCTACATAGCCAGCCACTATCCTGATGGGCACAGTAGGTGGCTCAGCCTGGGAGCTCAGACTCCCAAGTCCCCCCTCTACAGCGAGCAGGGACACACTTTGCTCTGCTGCAGTTCTTTACAGCGTGCAGGGACTGAGACCAGACTGGTGGCCAGGGGGATACGCAGCATAGCGGCCACCAGTCTTGCAAACATGGATGTTGGAGACAGAAGCCCTGATGCAAAAAAAATGCACCCTGGATTTCTCAAATGGCACACTGGGGAAAGAGAAGCATTAACTATTAAGGTATGAAAGCACTAGTGCTAACAAAATTTCTGCTTTTAAAAACTTCATTCAAACTTGCCTAAATATTTTCTCCCCTAGTCTTCCAGGACAGCCTGTGAGACATTGGGTTCCTCCCCCTGGGACATAAGAGTTTGTCCTCCAGGTCTCCCCTTCAATTCCTTTCCTCTGGACAGAAAGGAAGCATGTTAAGGAACCTGAACTCCATGTCTCTGGGCTGTCCTGGGTGTAGCCCCCCTGTATACAGTGCTGTGCCTGGTGGGCGAGTAGGGCTGCGGGTCCTGGCGCTGCCTGTACTCTGGGGGGAGAGAGAGAGGACTTCTGTCAATCGGTCAGCCCAGGGGGAGAAGAGACTTCTGGGGGAGGAGGGGGCGGCAGTGTTGCACTCTGGTTCCAGAAGCTGAAGGGGCAGTTTCCAATGGAAGTGACCTCATCAGATGGCACCTAAGACGGCAGTTCTAGTCTCAGAGGTGCGGCGGTGGGACCAATCCAGGCATTCTGACACTGTGTGGGGACCCAGCCAGGCCTTGGGGAATCACTCTGGAGGAGAGATGGGAGAGCACTGCACCTTCCCAGGTGGTGGACTCAGGTTCTTCAGGCACCTCTCAGGTAAGCGTTGGTAGGGCTCCCGCTGGGTGGTCCCAGTCCCTGGCATGGTGTGTGTCAAAACTAGGCTCATCTTGGGAAAAGCCCCTTTCCCCTGGGTGTATTAATAGCCTAGTTAAAGATGAGTCTGTGGCAGCGTGTCACAAAATCCTCACTTCAGTGAATTTCTACTGATCGCTTCTACTGTCCCATTTGTTCAAGGGCTTGATTGATAGAATGCAGACTCCTTCTTAATGTGATGGCCCTGTCCTAGCCCAGCCAGGAGGGGGAGGTAAGGTCACACACCTCTCAGGTAGACTGAGTCAGAGGAGGAAAGAGGTGGACTCCTCCAGGGGGTTCAAAGTATAGACTGTCATTTACTTCCTCAAGGCTATCTGACACCCTAGAAATTGAAGAGGTACATTTGTCCAAGCATGACCTTGTGTATCAAGGAGGATGCAATGCACCCATGGAATAAAATCTCAAAACTTGATGTGCCTCTCACATCACAGGTTGCTTTGGTGGTGGTGGGTCCACCAGAACCTTTGCAGGGATCTGTCATGGCTCCCACAAAGCCCACTGATCTTGACTATCAACGCAAGTTCCTTCGGCTGGGGGTCCCATCTGGGCAGCTCATCTGGCCCAGGGGTCCTGATCTCCAAGAAAAGCTAGACTTGCTTCAAATCAGGAGTTATTGGTAATTCAAAAGGCGTTTGAGTGCCTTCCAAACACTCTGGGTGGGCAACCACCTGCAGGTTCGTTTGCACAATGTGACGGCCATCGCTTACTTCAACAAACGAGTGACAAGAAGCCCATCCCTCCTTTTCATTGCAGATGACATATTTTGGGTGGGCCAAACAGAACCTGGCCTTGTTAGCGGCCGTCCACTTAAAGGGGGCACAAAACTCACTAGCTGAATTTTTCTTCTCTGAGGTTTTTTACTGCAGAAGGCAGAAGGCAACAACAATGTCAACCAGATCTTTTCCATGCATTCCCAGGATGGGGTTTTGGGTATAGATGACTTCACGTGAGAGTTCAGATTCGGTTATGCCTTTGCCCCGGTAAGGCTGCTGCCAGCCATCCTTCAGAAACAGACCTCATTCTAGTGGCTTCATTCTGGCTGAGGAGACCATGGTTTTCTTTACTTAAGAGTCTTTTATCAGCCCCTCTGATTCTTCTTCCACAAGAGGGAGGATTTGATTGCACAGGGACCAATTCTTCATCCTCTGGTAGTAACCCTGATGTTGGCTGTGTGGCTTCTGAGGAGCAACTCTTGAGATCCTGGGTTTCCGGGTTTCTCTGAAAGAGAGTCATATATGCTAAAGTGTAAACTTGGATGGAAGTTTTTTTTTTTTTTTTTTTTTTTTTTTTTTCAGGCTGGGGTGGGTAAGGGGCTCTTTGGTAAGTATCTTTTAAAAGTGCAGGCCTTGGCTCTTAGGCCTTGTTGTAGAGAGACCTGACAGAAAACACTAACAAATTTTTTTTAAGGCCCTCTCCAAGTCTGTACTGGTTCTATCCTTTGGTCCTTAGGGCTTTAATTCAGAGTCCCTTTGAACCCCTGGAAAAGTCTTCTGTTAGATCTTTAACCTTAGACTTTTTTTTGGTTGCAATCACCTCTGTGTGGAAGGTAAGTGAATTGCAAGCACCCTTGATTAGAGAGCCCTTTGATTTCTGAAGAAAGGGTTGTGCTTAAAACAGACCCATGTTTTCTTCCCAAAGTGTAGGATATAGTGCAGGATATAGTCTTTCTGACTTTGTTCCTTCCAAACTAATGACTGGGAGAAAAAATGTAATTTTATTAGGTGTTAGAAGGAGCCTTTTGGTTTACCTTAGTGTTACCAAGGATTTCAGGAAGTCTGATTCCTTGTTTAATTTCTCAGACACGTAAGGGGTATGGGGGCATCCAAGTCTTCTATTGCCAGGTGAATTAGATTGGCAATTACAGAGGCATATAGTGTTGCTAAACTTCCTCTGCCCTTTGTGAATGCACTCTACCAGAGCCCTGGTAATTTGTGCAGAGAGGGCTGGTGGCACACCAGAGGATATATGCAAGGCGGCCACGTGGTCTAGCTATTCCACATTTGTAAAGCATTATCGCCTGGAGCTGCTATCATGTAAAGAGTAGGTGGTTGGACAAAAAGGCCCTCCACGCAGTGGTCCTGCCCAAGGAGGGTCAGTTTTTTTTTTTCATCTCACAGGCTACCCTGGAAGATGAGGGGAGAAAACCAGAGTTGGGCTTACCGGTAACTAATTTTCTAGGAGTCTTCCAGGACACAGATTTTCCACCCTGTTCCTTTTTTTTCTTTCCCTCCAAATGAGTGGTGTTTTGTCTTCCTGCATCTTCTGGTGGATCTTGGGGAGACCTGGAGAACCACCTCTTAAAGGAGTTTGGGCTAGGGTGTTTCCTGTCCTGGAGGGAGAAGCCCAATGTCTCACAGGCTGTCTTGGAAGACTCCTAGAAAATGAGTTACCGGTAAGCCTAACTCTGAGTTTTCTTGAAATCTATCATGCTTGTAATTTCATGACAATCTCCATATTAAATCTGCATTTGCCATTAGTATTCGGCTATATTGTGATTGGATGATAGGGATGCACTGATGCACTTTTTTTTTTTTTTTTTTCTTCACACACTCCAGCTGTCAGCAGGGGACTCCTGACAGCTGAATGATTGTTTGCGAAGGATGTGGTGGTCCCGCTCCTTAAAGCGATACTAAAGGTTTTTGTTTTTTGGTGGGGTTTTTTAACCTTTTTAGAATTTCATTTCTAAATTTCTTTTGAAGAAACCTTACACTAAAATTCAACTTGCTGTCTGCCAGGGGTTAAACTGAGGAACATTTATTTTTTTTTTTACTTGACAGGTTGTTTTTAACTGACTTCATCTGCAGGTTGAAGTTCATCACTTGAACTGTGTGGTGGCCTTTTTTCTTTCTTTTTTTTTTTTTTTTTTTTTTCTCCAGGTTTTTTTTTACAGTTCACCTGTCGGCAAAGGAATCCCACTGACAGCTGAAAGAACTAAGCCTGAAGGTATTGGTTTCAGGTATCAGAGCTGATACTCCTGCAAATGCTTAGTATTGGTGCAACCCTAGCTGATAGAAGTGGACATGCTGTTGCATGAATTTATACTTATTTCTGGATTTTACTTTTGATTCTATGGCCTTATTCAATGTACAGTAACTTGTAGTTTCTGTAAATATTATTCAATATTCCACTATCGCAATTTATATTTTCATTATCGTTTGGATTCTAGCTAAGATCATTGTTTTGCTAAATGAAAAACAAACACTTGAGACCAAAGCTAAAATTACCTGTCTTCACTTGGGTATGAC